TCTTTACCAATCATGGCCTCCTAATAATCTCCATCTATGAATTGGCTTCATCACTCTTTTCTCCTCGTCACTGATAGCTGATGTGTGGTGAGGGTTCTGGTGCACTATGGCTGCCGTCGCATCATCCAGGTGGATGCTGCACATTGGTGTTGGAGGGGTGTCCCCATTACCTGTAAAGCGCTCTGAGTGGAGTGTCCAGAAGAGCGCTATGTAAGTGTAAGCAATTATTATTATTACTGTCCCATCTAAGACAGAGGGAGTTAAGAAATCTCACTCGGCTTAATACTAGAGAAACCAGGATGAGCTCAGGCATGACAACCATTTAGGGTTAAGTATGGACTTATTTGCTGCAGGACTGCCGTACCTAAAAGTGTAGTTCCCAGGCACAAGGTCATACAGGTGCAAGATGGCAGTATCAGCAGAGGCCTTCTGTTCCCTCAGTGGCCCTGTTACCTCCTCCCAGTGGTAGCTAACAATCTTGTCATCATCAGTGCTTTCTGTGAGACACAAGACAGAACCACATTTAAATATATTTAGTTGCTTTTTTTAACTACTAATTTGCTTTTCCAAGCCGTGTAAGTACTCAGTAACCTGCTTCACACTGCTAACCTTAAATATGGACACATATTCAAGAGTTTTTATGTGCATAAAGTGGGTCCCCAATAAAATACGCGTAAAATACGCGGGTAGCTGCATCAGCATGAGGTGTGAAGAGGCCTGAAGAAGGCTCCACGGCCGAAACGTTGTGTTCTCTTTCTTCTTTTTTTCAGCATGGAATAAACCTGTTACTTGTTCCTTTACATGTAAAATAGTTCCTTTGGGATGAAAATTCTATACGAAATCAAGAAACTGTTATTGTCCTGTTAAATTACTGTTTTACACATCAGAAATTACTGCTTCAGATTACAGGGGCTACTGCACTCATTTTTATTGGATATGGGAGTATCCTGGATGACTAGAAGCATGCATTACAGAATTATAAAAGGGAAGAGACATACGGCTGCCATCAATGTAAGTCGAGGTTGTTGGAAGTGAGATCTCTTGAATCCAGGGGGAGGCGATGGCTACAGGGGGCTGATTGACTTGAGTTGCTACAGGGTGGGAGAAAAAGAGATTAAAGAGAGCTGTTAAATACAGTAACTGACAAATATCCCATATTTCCAATGCAAAATGTGTTTTTATTTATACTGCTAATTTCACCATCCAGCAAATGCATATGTATATGCACTATAGGGGTTGTGTGTAAGCAGTATTAGTTGATTTTCATTCTTACCAGCTTTAACAGTGATGTTCACAAATCCCTCCCCATAGGAACTGCCAGCAGTCACACACACTTTGAAGATATAAAGGCCAGGAGAAAGCTTCAGGAAAAATGAAAACAAATAGCACTTTATATCTCACCAACACTGGCCTTGAAATAGTTTACATGGATCAAGGAGTCTTGGGAAATAGGAGTGAAGAAGACATACGCTAAAATAAAATTAACATCAGATAAAATGTCAGATAAAACATTCAAAATACAAAAATCACTTAAACTTTCAGTAGATAGTGATCACCTCAGAATAAAAATCAAAAGAAGATACTGTAAATAGTTTGAAAGTTATTTTTGTGGGATTACATTTATGATTTTTTATGGATTATGATATTTTATGTTCAGGTAATTTAACATACATTTAGGTACAGTAGGTATATGTACATAATCTGACAACTGACTGACTAAAGGCACTTTGAAGGGTCAGTGTAATTAAACATGAGTGGGAAAAGGGAAAGGAACTGTATGGGAAAGGAAATGCAAAACATCCATTGAAAAAGCAAAGAGTATATTACAAGACTAAATTAAAAGTTGATTTCTGCTTCTCTGAATGTGCACCTGACTGTGGTGAAATTGAAAGCAAAGTCTTTATAATAAACAGATGAGCAGGTATTTTAGCTTTTAACACAAATGTGGACCATAAGTGATTTCAACATGTTTTCCCTTCTCCAGATGTTTGCTGTGAATGTTTCAAAAAAGAAACACAGAACTGAAGCAGATGAAGGTCATGGTCACAAGACATTGTAGATCAACACCTGCTTTGTTCTGTGAAAAAAGGAAATTGTAAAGCCCACAAAAATCTGATAATTTAAGATTATCTATCTTATCTTAATATAAATTATCATCTTATAATTTAAGAGTATTTAGGTAGCTAAAATGTTTACTTTGCTTTTAGTACAGGTTTGGTGAATTTGTCATTTTTCAGAAATATTCTGTTCACTTAGCTGAAATATGCTTTATTTTTTATGAATACAGGCTGCAATTTAAACAAGTAATGATTGCTCTAATATCAATTTTTGTATTCAAATGTGTTTGTCAGTAATTACAAAAGAGATTTCGTACTCGCGACAGCTTGAGAGTTTTGGTGTGCTTGTTTTCCATCTCACCCTCGTAGTCAGCAGGATGACTGATCAAACTCCATTCATAGCTGTAGGAGACTTCTGAGGAACATGAAATTAAAGAAACAGTCAATTTAGTATTTAAATTAAATAATTCCTTCTGTTCTTGTAGTGACCTGTATATCTTCACGAAGAACAGCACAATAACCATGATGCTATGCACTTGTTAAATTGGGCTGCTTCTTTGTGGAACTATTTCAGAATTTCACCGGTGATTTTCAGATAAAGATCTGCAGTCAACACAGGCCAAGCCAGGATACAGATTTTTACAAACAGGGACATTTTCTAACACAGCATATAGCACATGTTATTCTGTAAATGTTTTTATCCATGACCCTGTAACCACTTCTTAAGGAGTTATAAGATAGTTTTGTATTTCACCTTAAGGAAAGGTCAAATTTAACAGGGAGTTCTTTTATACATTGCAGGGAAACCGAGACTGCATACAGATCGATGACAGGGTTTTACTTGAGTTTTAGAAGAGGTAATTGGTCAAGGTCAAGTTCCTATTTATGTTACTTATTAACTATAACCCTATCTGCACCCTACATGGATTTATAACTCCATTTGATCACAATGAAAAATGAAAGGTCTTATACAGTATGTCTGTCAAAATCATATGACCAACTAGCTTTACATTAGTTGTGTAATATAATTCACATAGACAACTATTCTGTGATTGTTCATGAGCTTACAGATACTGTATTATAAATGATAAATATACATGGAAATATATGCATATTAAGAACACCAGAAATGTGATTGCCTTTTGGGAGTAACGCTTAAAATGTAGTAAGCTGCATTTAACAAATTTGAGAGAGAACCTGTCCTAGTATATTTACATAAAATTCAGATCTGTACATTAATTGCTTCAAAGTACACAGTGTCTTTAATAATTATTCTGGCCCTTTGTATGGTGTTCCATTTTGTGATTTAAAAAATGATGCATACACATTTTAAACAAAATTTAATTCAAAATCTAAACTCAAATTTAAGACTAACATGTTATAGTAAATGTCAGCAAAGACTGAAATATGTGGATGGCACAAGTATTCAGACCCATGAGCTTCAAATGTGGTAAAAGCATATTGGACTGCAATTATAGTCACAAGTCTTTACCAACTTTGCATGCTGGCTTGGTGCCATTTCTTTTCTTGGCAGCTTTGTTTCAAGTTACTTGGAGATGGTTTATTTACAGCAGTTGTCAGGACTTTGACTGGGCCACCCAAGGATATTCACTTTCTTATAATAAGCCTCTCCAGTGACTTTCTTTGGAAGTTCTTTGAGTCTTTGCTTGAAATTCACTACTTGACCAAGGAACCACACAGAGACAGGTGCTGTTATTCTGAAATCATAAGAACCACTATTATTGCACAAGACAGAGGTCACTAACTGCTTTACTAATTACATATTTTCTAAATTTAGTTTTCACACAGCAAAGAGTTGGAATACTTCTACAACCATAACTCTTTCATTTTTCTTTCATCCATCCATTTTCTAAAGAGCTTTACCCAATACATGGTCACGGGGGAGCTGGTATCTAACCTGGAAAGCAATGGGCACACTCCAGAGAGGACAATAGTCAATTGCAGGGCACACAAAGACATAAAATGCACATTTGCACTGGGGCCAATTTTACTTAAGCTAATTAACATACCAGTATGTCTTTGGACTGTGGGAGTAAACCAGAGCACCCAGAGGAAATCCACAGGAATTTGGGGAAAACATACAAACTCCACACAGATAGCACACCCAGAATTGAACCCACGGCCCCAGTGCTGCAAGGAATCATTACTAACAACATTGACACCATGCCACCTCATTTTTCTCAATCTATCAATTTCCTAACCACTTCTTCCAATTCCAATAACCTGGAAAGTAACAGGCGCAAGGCAGGGTACACCCTGGATGGGACACCAGCTCACTGCAGGGCACAGAGACACAAACACACACTCACACCAGCCTCAGAAACCAGTTTGTTTTTGGACAATAGATGGAAACTGGGGCACCGAGAGGAAACCCACAAAAAACGGAGAGTACATACAAACTCCAGGAATTGAACCCAGGGTCCCAGTATCAGGTATATAATAACATCATTAGCCAGAATTCTTACAATTCTATGATTACCTTCTTACCTGACAAAGTTAAAAAAAAGTTTTAGTTTTTTTTGTAACATCATGCCAAGTTTCCACAATTACTTCTTCCTGTCAGAATTAGGAAATTCAAAAGGATCACCTAATAATTTGAAGCACTATAAGAGAATATATTTCTCTTCACCAGCACCTCAAACTTAACCTCAACCTTCTTTGTGTGCACATGTGCAGAGGTTCTACTAGACTAGACTGAATTAAGAAAAACCTTGGATTGCAAAAGGAAAGTATTATATAGCACCATAATTACGACAGAGCCTTTTCATTGTGTTTTACCTGTAAAGTTCTGTTATCTATTTGTAAAATACTACTGTGTTTTTAAAAGGTAAAATAATCCATCATCAGATGACTAGGCACAAAAATCCTTTAATTGATCTTAGTTAAAATGTTCTGAAGATTATATACAGTAGCAAACATTTGTTCAAGAAGCGTAAGCATGGCATTATGCCACATACCAACTCACTTCAAGGACTGATCTAAACTTGAAGATATTTTTGTGGTGTCCATTCGCATGGGTCAAAAGCACATTAAAGGATGCTTAATCCTAAAATCTCAATAATTAATAATAATTAATAACTCCGATTGTATTCATGGCTGTGGTTAGTCTTGCCTGTTTTTGGTTCTGGAAATACAAAGGCATTCAGCTCCACTGTATTCCTGGGAAGAGTGACTTCCACATTGTCTCCAGCTGACACCACCAGTGCCTTCACTGTGGGAGTAAAATCACAGCATCAGGATTCTTCTTAACAGTTAATATCAAAATGTCAGATACTTGGACGAATACATCTTTCAGGCTGTACAATAGTGGGAGAGGGGGCACAGACTCACAAAGGGAACCAATTAGACAATACGATCCTGAAAAATGAAGATCTGTAACAGGAAGTTCTCAATTACGTTCATGGCATCCTACCATTTTAGACATCTGTATAAAATCCTACAAAATACAGCTAGTTCTTCAATAGCTGCAGAGTTTTGTCCTTGCACACTATTCCACACAACAGCATCTCTATTAAAATATTTCCTCATGTTAGTACTACACTCACAGAAACTCATAACTTACCCTGAATGTATTTGTGTTGACTTAAATTCATCTGTATATACTGGGCACATAGTATACATGACACATTAGAAAACCAGGCCCTTACTTTCACTTTAAGCAAACATTCTACTCTAAATAAATAATTACATAGACAATTTGCCCAAAACATATCCACTGGGAAAACCAAGCCCACAGCTTACAACATTGGTGCTTAAATCTGAATATATTAATAAACTAAAACAAGAAAACAGCACCATACTACAAACTTGTTTCTATGGAACATATATTTGTGTTAGTCTGTATTAAAATTGATAAGATGTTCTTATGTTCTTAAATAAAAGCAATGTATGTGATCAGTCACCAAGCTTACATCAACAGATTCATTATAAAGCCTTAGTTTGAATTCAAAAAGGTCCATAAATAAACTTGGACCTCAATTTCATACTACGAAAATATTGTGAGAGTCTTTTATTTTGTTTTATTTAAATGTGTATTTTCTTATTAAAGTCCTGATCCAGTTTAGGATCCTGAATTGTAGACCAGCTCAGCCTACCACTGCAAATCTCATTCTAGCACAAGAGGCACAAGAGCATACAAGTCTTCTTCCATTATGGGTGCAGTCAGATATGCTTCATCTGTTGTTTTTCTCACTTTAAACCCAAGAGCAAAATTATCGCAGACTGGAAAACTGATGACACTGAAGGCTCACAGGCTGGCAGCTTGGGATTGGGACTACCCTATTTCACTTGCTCCTCCAACTTCACCAGAAATGTCAACTCACTGCCAGCCAGCCCCAACCACCAGTTCACCATTGTGAGAACAGCAGAACAGCAGCAGTCCTAGTCTCTGCCTGCTGCCACTATCTACTTCTTCCCCATGTCTTCCCCAAGGCCTCTCCATTCCCATCTCCTGCAACCTGATGGATGCAATTCCACTTCATAAAAAACAGAACGAAGTGTGAATGAAATGACCACTGCTTGTCATGTTATCATTTCAATTATTGGCACAGGTTGTGCAGAAGCCATCATTACATAGGCTAAGCAGTTAGGACTGTAAAGTAGGTGTGGTTATGGCATTCTGTATTGCCTATTCCTTGGCTTAAGTGATACTGGATCAGGTAATCTCTTGAAACATCAACTGTTTTTCAATACAGCTGAGGTCCCCTCTGCAGTACCTGGTGTGAGCGTTGTTGTAGGGCTTGAAGTAGAAGTAGGTGGAGAGGATGGCACGTCTGGCAGTGAGGGCTGTATTTGGATCTCGGAGATGAAATCTGCCGTGCTATTGTGGGATGTTGGCATCATTTCCATGCTGGTTAAGGATATGTTGTGCAAAGGAACATCATCCTGGGAAAAAATAATACACAAGTATTGAAATTGTACCTGTATCAGCATTGCTCTAGCAAAAGTGACTCACAACTGTTAAACTGACTCTTGCTTAAGAATCGAGTCATCACATTTTGAACTGGCATTTTTTTTTCTTTAGGCCATCAATCTGACCCGTATTACTCAGAAGCCCAGAAATGTTTAATCCATTCATTTCTGTCTGCAAAGGGAAAATGCAATGAGTTTTTGAGACTAGGTCTGAGTCAGCACTTACACAAACAACCATAATTATTATTATTTCAGTTTTTCTACACCAATGTTATCTCCTAGGCCCCTTCAAGGGCAATTTATACATTGTACCGTAGGGTCTCGACATTCAAAAGGATCTGGTGCAGAGCACTGTTTCAAATAGCCAAATTCACATATAACCTAGTCCACCCCTATATTGTGGCATAACGTACTACAGTTGATAGTAGCACGGCTAAAAGACATAAGAAACTCCCCCTTACATGATAATTAAAGTACTCACACATTAGCTTTAAGTTAATGAAACTGGACAGGGCTGGCAACACTGTAAGGATGTATTTCGACTTCTCCAGTGCCTTCAATACCATCCAGCCCTTACTTCTAAGGAGGAGATGCAAGTCGATGCCTCCATGACTTCGTGGATCACTGACTACATGACAGGCAGACCACAGTCTGTGAGACTTCAGAACTGTGTCTGAAAAGGTAGTGAGTAACACAGGGGCACCTCATGGGACAGTTCTTTCTCCATTCCTGGGAGTACACATTGACGATAGACTGAAATGATCTTAGAACATCGAGGCCATCTATAAGAAGGGACAGAGCCGATTTTCTTCTTGAGGAGGCTTAGGTCCTTCAATGTATGTAGTAAGATGCTACATATGTTCTATCAGTCGGTGGTAGCGAGTGCCATTTTCTACGCAGTGGTATGCTGGGGCCCTGGGATTAGAGCAGTGGATTCTAAAAGGCTGAACAAGCTCATCAGGAGAGCAAGCTCTGTCGTTGGGTCTGACCTGGACCCCTTGGAGGTAGTGGCTGAGAGGAGAATGGTGTCCAAACTAGAGGCCGTCATGGACAACATCTCCCATCCCCTCTATGACAAGCTTGTAGAAATGAAGAGCACATTCAGCAATAGACTGATTCATCCACAGTGCGACAGGGAGCGCTACAGGAGGTCATTCTTGCCTTCTGCCATAAGACTGTACAACGCATCCACCTTGCGTCTGGGCAGAGGCAACATTGACAGTGACCTGTTTCTGGAATGAACACATCTACACATCTACTGCTACATCTGTTCTCTTTCTTTTCCCGTTTACAACCGTTTTTTGTGCAATATATGCCAGGGACCCGTGCAATACATTTATATTTATATGTATATCTATATTTATATTCATAAATATGTGTGTGATACAATTTTTCTGCGTACTGTTCTGTTCTAGTTTGTTCTTTGTGTGTCCGGACTGTGAGTAACTCTTTCAGTGCACCCCTCACTGTACTGATTGTATTTATTCATTACACTGTGGCTGTGTTGTATGTGTAAAGCTGCTGTTGCACTACAATTTCCTTCACGGGATCAATAAAGTATCTATCTATCTATAAAAACAAAAACAACAGTAACCACAAACATATAGCAATCAGCTAAAATAAACAATGTGAATCCCTCTCAGCACTTTTTCTGCCTTCCCCGCTATTTCCTGTTATTAATACAGTACCTCACCTCACTATAATGAAAATAACAATAAAACAGTCCATCTCTGGCCTGTCATTCCCCATGTTACTGACACAGAACCAGAGGTGCTCATTTCAAAACAAAAACAAGACCACGTTGTGATGCAGATCCTGGGTAGTGGGCAGGGGGGAGGGAGAGGCTCACTCACTAGCTAAATTGGTCTCACAATCCTAGTCTGTGGCTCTGCTAATTTGAAAGTTGCACTTAACAACCTTCAGCTCAGTTTCATCCTGCTCTGCTCTTCTTCCATCCAAGATCCCATCAGCCAGACCAAATTGTGAATAAGCAAATTTGCAAATGTTAAATTTGCAGATGTCAAGACCCTACTGTACTTACAAGAATGGCAGGAGTCCCATACAAGGACTGTAATTTCAATAAACTGGCCACTAGAAGCTGTCCAATCATTTAGGACTAGCATGTAAATATTTGTCAGCCCTTGAGGACCAGAGTCCTCTTGATTGAACAGATTACTTGCTTTGTTTATCATAGCTTAAAAGTGTTCCCAATCTTTAAAAAAGACGACCTATAGGTCTTACTGGATTGGGGCTCTTTATCTAATTGGTGTTTAAAATGTTAGGTGGTCTTTTCAGAATACTGTACACTATGTACTATGTATATCATTGGTACAGGTGTACATGAGGAACTCTATTTCATAGACAATGAAACAGCACTACAGAAATTTGCACTCTTGTGGAATACACTGCAGGCCTTATAGTGGACACAGCTGATTGTAAACGTCTGATATATACAGTCATTGTCCATGGGAAAAGGTTCCTCATGGTTCAGTTTGTATGAGAATTAAATTCTATTTCTCCAGAGTCAAAGGTGTTTGACATACATTTGGTTGAACAAGCCTTCCACAGGCCCTCTGAAGTTCATTTAATCCAAGCTGTTGTGTGATTTCCGACAGCACTTACATTTAGACTTCCCGAAAGAGAGACTGGGGTGGCAGGAGCAGGCACAGTGGGCGCATCCCCACGGTCAATCTCGCCCTTCGTGGAGGTGCTGCGCTGAAGTAGGCTGCTCTTTGAGGGGCTTTGTGAAGTGTACAGATCTCCCTGGCTCACACCATACTCCGAGAAGTTGAATCCCTCCTTTCCTGCCACTGACAGCCAATCGAGATACCCAGAGCTCTCCTTCTGTTCAGCTCTGCTGCCCACAGGGCTGCCATGGATGATAGAGCTCCTGTAGCTCTCGGGATACTCATCCTCAGCTAGGGAAGAATCTTCAAAGGCCTGGTCCCCATCAAATAAAGCCAAGTCTTTGAGGCTCTCAGGACCTTTGAGGTTGGACTGTGGGCGAACCCTCCCAGAGAAAGGCTGTCCGCGCACCAGGGACTGCAGCACTAGTGTCTGGGGAGGCCTGCGCTGCAGGAAGATCATATAGGAGTCCGTGCCAGGACGCTTTTTGGGCTCACAGTTTTCCTTGTGCTTGCAGTTGACAATGTAGCAGTGCCTCTCAAACAGCCAGGCCAGGTCACAGCCAGGGAAGTCACAGCAGGCCCCCGCACACTGTGTCAGTGACACCACGTCTGGCACACGCAGGATGTTGGTGTTCTTCAAGTTTGGTGAGATGATCGTTTCAGAGAATGTGACTCCCTGCCAGCACGGATCTGCAAATGCCCCTGTAGTGCAGAGAAAGAGCTAGGGTGACATCTGAAGATAAACCTAGAACACCAACAGGACAAGCTGCAAAGGTTCACTCTAGTATCAGGGTCATATAGGTTCAAATAGGTTTAAGTAGTTCAAGTATATAGCTGCGTCAGCATGCGTAGGCTGCAAAAGAACAGGTAAAGGTTTATTACATGTAGAAAAGATAGCAACACAATGTTTCACCTATGGAGCCTTCTTCGGGTGTCAGGAATGATATTATAACAACGACATCTGTGAAGGAATGGGAGGTGGTTAGAGAGCATGGTCTTGGAACAGATCGCTGTGAAGAGACTGAATGCTGGTGTAGTGAGAGAAGCACAGGGAGGAGGAAAAGGAATGACAGATCTAGAAAATGATTTAGAGGAAAGCATAGTGGGTTACAGCGGAAGTAGCCTGAAATAGTTCGAGTAGGTAGCTGCGTCAGCATGCGTAGTCTGCAAAGGAACAAGCAATAGGTTTATTCCATGCTGAGAACAAAGGAAACACAATGTTTCGGCTATGGAGCCTTCCTTGGCTCTTCCATAGTATGACAAGTTCTTTGTCATATTTGTCATAGAACAATAATTTTATAATACACACTTCATAACTCATGGATTTATATTTAACATCTGGCAAAGTTTATTTATAGGAAAATGTGGATATTAAGTTAAGGTCAGATAAAAGATTAAATGTAAGTGTGCATCTTTGTAATAAAACTATGCAAACAATAATATTCAGATTAGTAAAAACTTATAATTCTGTTAATTTTGAAGAAAAAATAAAAATAAGAATAAAAGAAGTGCTTGTTGGTAAGTTCTTCTTGAGTTAGGCATCACTTATAGAGCTCTACCAAATCAGGCATTCAGAAGAAGACATCTTGCTAATATTGCCCATATTCAAAGCTCTCTGTGAACACTGAAGATCACATGTCCTCAGTTTTTACATCAGTTTTTCCCGTCTCGCCGCTACGCATATGGGTCTTTTTCCGCTCTCCTGCTCCCCACGGTTAGTCCCTTTGGACATCCGTGACAGATATTTTGATAACAATAACATATTTGGTTATTTTACAGATTTATTTAAATATAAAATGTATTTTATATTTATTTTGTATTACTGTACATATTTTATTTTTTAGTCTATTCTGTGTTTTTGCTTGTCTTAGGCTGGGCTGCTGTAACACCTCAATTTCCCTTATATTATAGTCTTATCTACCTATCTATCCTCGATTACCTGACCAGCTACAGGGAGACAATTGTTATTAGCAGCAAGAGAAGAACATCAGAACAAGGAAGCAAGTGACTGACTGATGAGCCTGAGGATATTCTTTTTTTAATTGACAGAGTGTTTTGATAAAGACACAAAGACATTATTTTTTACCTTCTCACTGCATTTGTGTGCCTGTTTACTGAGTCTTACCATTACAAAGATTGCCACTGCAGCACACAATATTCAGGTGTGCCACACAGGAGAGACAGACTTATCTGTACACAAGCAACTCTTTTTTAATTTCAGACTTAGAGTCCAGGATTACACTCAGAAACCAGATTCTCTAGAAGTCAACTCAATACTGTAGGTAGAATCAAACTGTCTGGCAAAAGCCATGATCCAAACCTCTGTCAGAGACTAACAATCACCTGAACTATTGCGGATGCGACCACAACAGGCTCATAATACACTAAGAGCAGTTTATAACTTCAATAGAAAATAACAGCAAAAACAGGCAGAGAACTAGAGAGAATATTGTGGCAAATCACTACAAATGTGCACAGGTGTATCAAGGGGGCTGCTGTATGTACAAACCCAAAACACAAGAGTGCACAAGATTTATAGAAAGCCGACAAAAGGAAAAAGTGGATGAACAATAAAGACTTGTTATCATCAAAGTATTTACACAGCAACACTTTCTCAAAGTCAATTGGTCTCTGGGTATGATTCTCGCTTTGGGTATGAAAGGTCCTGAGTTCAAATCTCCGATGAGCTGTGAGTGCAGTCAGGGTGGTGCGGTGACACTGGCTAAGGATCTTTGCCTGTGGCTAGAAGGTTGCCAGTTTGTATCCTCCGGCCGGTGGATAGGAGGGATCCTACTCCGTTGGGCCCCTGAGCAAAGCCCTTAACCCCAACTGCTTCAGGGGTGCTGTATAAATGGCTGACCCTGCACTCTGATCCCAAGCTTCTCTCCCTGTCTGTGTGTCTAATGGAGAGTAAGCTGGGTTATGTGAAAAGACAAATTCCTAATACAAGAAAATGTAAATGGCCAATAAAGTGATCTTAAGTCATTCAATGTCTGGAAAAGTAACAGTCCACGTGGCCTTTCAAGTCACAGTGAGTGCCGATACAATCAATCAGTGAACAGAAACAATGAAACTATGAGATCAGAACAATCCATTTATTTTACATTGACTTCTGTTCATGACTCTTGTCTACAAGATCATTTTTCCAGACATTCCAAGCACAAGTGCAAATTCTAGGCCAAAAACTTTGCCAGGCTCTTCCCTGAATGAAAATGTTGTTTTACTGAACATTTCCTTGCTTTGTAATATCAGATAACTTTTTAAAACAGTAAGGGTAATAGAAGATACTATACATTAATCATTGTTTGCAGGCCTGAGGCAAGCTTTTTTATAAAGGACTAAGCAGCACACAACCGCAGATGGCTGAATTTCTCGAAACAAAAGCACCATTAATTATTCAAACCACTATGACTACAGGCCTCCAAACCAGACTGTGATGTGTGGCTTTAAAGTACAGAATTACATCTGGAAACCTGCTATACCTGATATTCAAATATCAAAGTAATTATGATCTGAGACACCAATGAGGGTGAGTACTTGAAACTGATGTTACATCCATCATGGAAAATATCTGGTTCAAAAAAGGAGTAGGCCTCTTTTGGCTTTATTTGGCCTCTTGCAAATTTATTTCAGACTTTGCAGCTGTATTATCTGCTAAATGTGACTTTCTAATATTATCTTGGAAGTAATATATAATAATCTTTATTCTGGTATTTTAGCTTTCTTTTCAGTCCAAAATACAGCTGAGTTGTGCGTGCAAACATCATGCAAGGTGCATACAGTACTTTTGTAGCAGTTCATCAAATACTGTGAACAGAGCTGAAGTGTCCTGAATGTCATGATTGAAAAAACATGTTCCAGAAAAAAGATCCAGAGTTTCAGACCTTAAATTACTTTGAGATTTTTCCGATTTTAAGGGATTAGATTTTCTAAATGTTCTATGGGTATATACAACAAACAATGATATAAAAAAAAGAACACTCTAGAAATACTTCAGTAGGATCAATGCGGCATGTTTGTTACAACAGCACTTTTTTATTTCTATTTGTTTTCAGGTTTTTACATACATGCATTATGTTTTCTTATCTTCTTATCTTATCTTCTTATCTTCAAAACAGATCTGCACTTCTACTGATAAAAAGCCTACATTTGGTAGACAATATAACTAAACAAAAAAGATCAAACCTCATTATTCCTCCTTAATGATTGCTTTCTAATTGTTATTAAATTATTCTTTGACATTTTATTACATGATTATCTTGTCAAACCTGCATCTTACTCAGGAGGAAGTTTAATTTATCTGCTGTATAGAAACAAAATTAATTGATATCGGACATGTCTATTTTTCAAGATGATATAGAAAAAGACTGATGTGTACTAACATATCTCTTTACTAAGCTTTCTTTTTGAAACACAACAATGTTAGTTTTTTTGTTAGTGTTTGTTAAGTGTGCCTATTAGTCATTCTGTAAAACATTTTTTTTCTGATTTGAACACTTCAGTTTGTTGCTTATTTTGCTGCTTTTTTACTTTTACTTATTTTCTCACAATACCACTTAGTTGCAGCAGTTACTATAGTAACAAATTTCTTCAATATTACTTCAAATGAACAATATTAATCCAGAGGAACCAGTCATAAATTTGTATCAACCTTACAAATACGTTCATTAACTTTTCTCTCATTCACATTCACCTATTTAGATTAAAGCTACTGTATTTCTCTTTGCACTTCTCACTGACTGTACCAATTGTATTGTATGTATTGTATTATTGTATCATTTAATTACACTGTGCTGTGTTGACTGTGTTAAGCTGCTGTTGCACTGTAATTTACCTCACGGGATCAATAAAGTATCTCTCTATCTTTAGTTTTCCTTTCAAAGGCATACCTTTTAAAAAACAACTTTGTATTTATAAATTACCAACTAGCCTGTACATCATTTCTCATTACTGTTGAGATGTTACTATGACAACAAAATTCAGTTGTAAAATTGTTATGAAGAGGGCATAACGGCGAAATCTGAGAATACTGCACGTTGTTATCACCAGAGCTGTCCAGACTGTAAATCTTAAATTCAAACCAGGTTTGGGGAAAAAAAGAATCAAGAAGTGCAAAAGATTAATCAGAATGTGGGAAGAGGGTCAAATTAAGAATGTGCTATCTGTATGGCTTTGGACTATGGGAGCAAATCCAAGCAAATACATGGGAATACCACCCTGGGAATAGACCTCAGGACTCCTGTACTGCAAGGCCACAGTGCTAACCACTGTACCATTGTTCTGCCTGTCAGAGAACATAATCGCTTGTTTATCAAACAGAAAAGTACATTGCCTTGAACTACAGTATACCAGATGGATATCACGCCATTGGGTATAACCACTCATCTAATCAGCTCATACAAGGGATTAAACATGCTTTCTTTTTAGAAACTTAATTTCCACCTTACCATCCAGGGGCTGCAGAAAAAGCCAGAAAAGGCACAAGAGAAAATCCATGCCGTGGTCCACTGCTCTCTACACAGCCACCACGTGTAGCACTGCCTCAGTGTTTTTCTGTTGGGCCTCCTCAGTGGACAGATCCTAAAACAGAGAAGCGGTCTGGTCCGATCAAATTGCAAATGTCAAAAATCCAAATGCTTGGGAATCTTCGGTGTGAACAGTTCTCTAGGTAGTTTAATTCACTAAACATTTGTGAGATAATGGTCAGGTGACGTAACGTGTCCAATAGTCAGTAAGAAAGGGTGTTAAACAGTTAATATGAACAGTTAATATAATGAGACAGAGTGATGATATTGGATATCAGCATGTTTTGGGTGCTTTGTCTACAAAAAAGTGGTGAAGAACAACATACATCCTAAAGTGCCATATTAGCCATACAATATACAAAATAAAAATGACTGATTTAAGCTTTAGTTAAAAATAAAGAACAGGTAGATTGAATAGGCAGATGATTATTATATTATTATATAGACAATAACTACTAAAAAGTGGCAAGCTTCCATAAGTTAAAAACAGACTCAATTTATTTGTTAACAATAAGGATTAAAATTAAATTGGAATACAGAGTAGTATTTTAGCTGGAAACCTAACATGTGGACAGATATGGATATTTGTGATTCCGAACGTAGTTCTGTACGATAGAATAGGTATGATATCACAGTGCCTGATGAAATAAAACAGGAAGGTTGTCCTTGCCATTTTACATTATAAAATGTCCTTATAGTCTGTCCTTATAGGAGTGAACCCCAACCGTAAATGAAAAACAATCTCAAGGAAAGATTTCCTTCCCAAACAGTTTCTCCTCCAAATCAAAACATGGTACTCTGTAAAAAATCAATCCTGATAATATAACTGCCTTCTGTACTACAAAACAATGAAAAAAATACTCTGGGACAAATGCCACCTGCAAGACAGTTACAGCCCAGGTGAGCTGGCAAGATGCAAGCTAATTTAACAAATTAGTACTTTAAAAGTGGACGACTGTCTGAAACAAGCATTCTTTGGCCTGAATGTGGCCACTGTTTTGTTCAGGCCTGGGTCATGTCAGTAGTTGACTGTTACTGGGATTTAAGAAACAGTGACATACCACTGACTGAGTACCTCCAAGGATGAGCTCTCCATGCTCTCAGTGACACAGCAACCCCTGCAGCCTCCTAGGTTCTTGTAATGTGCTGTACAGTTGGTCACAGATTAGCCTCTCCTGCAGTTGGCACTGAACAAGTATGAATGACAAGGGGTTTGAAGATGGGTGGGTCAGAGGAGTCTGTCTGCACTTCCTTGTTCTACCCTCTGTGTGGTAGCAGTGTTCATAACAGAAAGCCAAGAGATGAAAAACAAATTCAGTGGGTATAATAAAATAATTGTCTATTCTATTTTTCTAAAGGAAAAATACAAAAGAAGGGGCAGACCGACAACCTGTCTCATTGACCTTTGGAGAAATGCTTCCCTTAGGTTACAGTGACTTTTGTAGCTATAGGCACACGCCTTCATCCATGGCACCTTGGCACTTAGTTCATGAGCACGTTTCCTCATGCAGGTAGAACTACCTGTATAAGAACCGGCAGGTGGAGCTGAAATTCTGTGGGCCGAGACAGAGCAATGGCAAGTTTCAGCTACGCTGGAGAGTGTCTCTTAACTGCTAATAGCCTTTGAGCCCAACAGTGCTTGAGAATCCGATATTTAAGAAAGTGGCGGTGCAGGCAGGGACTCATTTTCCTGTCTTGGAACTACAGCACTCTATAGATCAGTACTGGTAAACCACACTCATATTCTAATACATAAGCAAACAAAACAATGGTTAACATGGAAGGATATGAAAAAATCCCTTGTAATCAACCAACGACCTTGGTTTTGAATTCACCCCCTCCCTGCCAGCCTCCACCTGCTCTGTTAGGTCCGACCAAAGGGTGACTAGTAGCGCTCTGCACTCTGTCCAAGCATGCTAATCTTAAGGGGTACTTAGGAGCAGAACTAATTATTACATATCTAATAAATACAGATTTGCAAGATTCTCCTGTCTGAAGCAGACTTTTTGAGATTGGGTAATAATAATAACAATAATAATAATAATAATAATAATAATAATAATAATAATAATAATAATAATAATAATAACAATAACAATAATAATAAACTATATTTATATAGTGTCTTTAAAGCGTTTTACAGAAGGACAACAATAAAAAATACACAAGATATGCACAATGAGAATACATAAAGAGAGGAGACAGCAGATGCGGGTACTGAATACAGTAGCAGAAGAGCGGTAAAGAACAGAGCCAAGTAAAGGCTCTCCTAAAGAAGAAGGTATTGAGTCTAGATTTCAAGGAGTTTAAAGAAGGTGACTCTCTGATATCTTTAGGGATAGAGTTCCAGAGCTCTGGGGCATAAGAGGAGAAGGTCTAGAGTGTAGACGGGCTTGGGGGACAAGCAGAAGACCAGAATTAGAAGATCGAAGGTTGCAAGGTAGGGAGTAGGACAATAGCAGCTCAGACAGGTACTGAGGTGCCAAGCCATGCAGAGCCTTATAGGAGAGCATAAGGATTTTGAAGTTGACATGAAACTTGAGAGGAAACCAGTGCAATGACTCCAGGATAGGAGTGATATGATCACTTGCACTAGACCTGGTCAGGATTCTGGCTGCCGAATTTTGGACACGCTGGTGTTTGTTCAATGTGGATTTAGGAACCCCAGCGAGTAGAGTGTTACAGTAGTCAATTCGGGAGAAAACAAATGTGTTGATCAGCTTTTCAGCCACAGTTAGCGATATCATAGGACATAGTCTAGCAATATTTCTGAGGTGAAAGAAAGATGTTTTGACAATATGTTTCACATGTGGGTCAAATGTCAAGCCTTAATCAAATATCACCCCCAAGTTATTCAGTTTAGACTGAAGTTCAAGTACAGTTCCATCCACAGATAGAGTTCAGTTTAGATGAAGGAAATTTTGAGTATCGTCAAAATAGAAATGAAGTTGAGGCCATGTGATCTCAAAAACTGACCAGGAGGAAACATGTAAATGCTGAAAAGTAAGGGGCCCTGAGCAACACCAGACTTAACGAGTCCATTCGCATATTGATCTGATGCTGAGCTACACTGAGAACATAGAGAACATTTAAAGAAAGCAAGTCAGAGGCTGTTTTTAATCCAAAGACTCAGGAACTTTAATGTTAGTCAAAATGTCCTAGAGATGGCATATACAGTAAAAGCCTTGTCGAGGGCATTCTGGCATTTAACATAACAGTTGGGTAAGGAAACCTTTGGGTTGAAAAGAAAAACCAAACTGTCCAGGATTGTGAAAATGGCAGGAAAAATAACTGGGAAACAGCAGCCCCAGCTCAGCAATTTATATCATAATGCAGTTCTCAGAATAGCAAGGAACATCACCGCTGATTCCACACACCCACTCCATTCTCAATTCATAATACTCCCATCAGGGTATAGGGTACCAAATTCACATAAAAACATGTACTGTTTAAGAAGTCCTTTGTCCCCTCTGCAATAAAACTACTCAATGAAGGTATGTAAAAGTATTACCCGCCCTCTACCTATTTATATAATCGATTATTTATGTATTACATACTGTTGTTTGTAAACTCTGTTTCATTCCTTCATAATCTGCTTTTCTAAAGTTATGAACTCTACTTTTTATGTATGTTTCACACATTAAAGTTATACATCAAACATATCACGTGCGGGTCAGAATTTCTCAGCTGAATCACATCTGTTCTTTAAAGAACTGATCCTTGTAGACCATTTCAACCATATCAGTTTCAGCATCTGTTTCCCATCACAACATTCCAATTTATATGCAGAAAAACCAATTCTCCCAGTAATATAACATCACATCACATGCTACTGTACATACTGTACCTTCTTCATCTGATTACATAACACAATATTTGTGCACATGTCTGAAGTAGGTGGTCTGTAGCTACACCTATTGTTAAGTATTTAGAATTTCTATTTTGCAGTTTAGCCCATGGTGTAGTGACTGTACCCTGTTGCTTTAGTCTTCTAGTTTGAATGTATTTATGATCTATACTGTAGTCCCACACCAATGCCATTTCTAGCCTGCGTTTCTTTGTAAAAAGCATATCATCCTGCCATAAGTGATTAGGCTTACAAAATATTTTTTCTAAACTAGACAATTGTAATATGTGATTTTTATTTTTTTCTCTACTTCTCCTAGCAATATCTTATCAGGGTATATTTGTTATAAAACTAAATTGAATACCAATGCAATATTTTAAAATAATATTCCAAAGTTCTCTAAGAGGCTGTTGGGAAAGGACAGGAAGAAGGCTAATGGTAAGGTGGTGAGCTAAACTAGACTTTGGGATATGGCTTTAATGAGGCATTTTAGGGATGTTTAGACTTACAGAAAGATTGGAAAAATAACTGACAAAGTTCTGTGATAGAAACCGTTGGCATCAAGGCCTACAGTTGGTTAGAATAAGTCCTAAACCAAAAACAAAATACCAGATTCTCCACAGATGTGTTAATCTCAATCAGTGCTTTTTAGGGCAACTTGCTGAAGCACTGTGCTTAAAAAACTTGTTTAAGAACTTTCACATTTCACTGTACATTCTCATCCACTGAATTTACAAAACTGATTGGTTTTGGATGAAGTGGTTGCTCTGTGGCTAAGGATCTGCACCTGTGGCTGGAAGGTTGTGTCACGGAACCTATACGTGGAATAGGAGGATCCTTATGCGTGACCGGAATCCCTTAGGACACAGAGTAGCAAAGGGACAATCCAAAAGACAAAATCCAAAGGCTGGGTCGATAAGGGAGGCAGAGGGTCCGGTAACAAGAGATATTCAAAAACAAAATCCAGAAGGCAAGGTCAAGAGGCGGAAGCAGAAGATTCGTAACGGGAGATCAGTCAAAAGGTTTGGAACCGCACACTGGAGAATACTAAAAAAGGCTTCTCAATAGTGAGCACGGGAAGGTGTGCGAAGGGGGTTTAAATACTGAAAGGAAAGGGTGTGATTGGATGATTGGTTAGGGAGTGAGAATTTGAGAAATCTGATGCATGTGAGAATGTGCTGGGTTCAATCAGGGATGAGATTGGGAAGCAGAGGTTCCGGGAATGTAACGTCTTTGCGAGGGAGAGTGTAGGGCGTGACAGGTTGCTGGTTTAAATCCCATGGCTGGTAGAGAAATCCTACTCTGTTGGGCTCCTGAGCAAGGTCTTTAACCCTAACTGCTCCAGGGGTGCTGTACAATGGCTGATCCTGTGCTCTGACCCCAAGCTTCTCTATGTGTCTGTGTCCTATGGAGAGGCAGCTGGGGTATGCAAAAAGATGAATTCCTAATACAAGAAATTGTATATGGATAATAAAGTGATCTTATCTTTATCTTATCATCAAGCAACAGCTATTTATTTAGACTTCACCTGGAGATTAATTCACATGTACTATGACACCGTCGTGTAGGAAACGCGGAAGACATGAAGACCCTGGAGACGTGAAGCAAGGTTTAATTTGTCAGAGAATATTATGCAGCAACTGTAGTTTAAATGAAAAGCAAACAACGGCGCGACACTGACACATTTATTTGTTTAAACAGCACAGATAACTCAGTATTTTTCTCCCTGACTGCACTCTCTCGGTTGCTGTGGAGCTCTGGGTGTAGCTATATTAAAGTAAGCAGCCATATAATCAATTTTTAATGGAAACAGGCATGCTGTAGGTTTGGAAACGAGTAACCGTTTCTACAGTCTACACTTTTTACAGAATTACAAATAAAAAAAAGCCTAATTTCATCCTTATAGCCAAACAATATGATGCATAATAATAGAGTCAGATTTAGGAAACATAAGTTTGCATATTTAATATAAACACGTGTAAAATAGGACTGGGCATTTCATTACATTCCACTTCGTGGTGATCTCTTCTCCTTTCCAAAATGTAATACGGATATATGCGTGACAAAACCGAAGTCTGCGACAGCCTTACGGACTACATGCGATAACACACATACCTTGCTTGCACCAGCGGCGGTTCCTGCTTTCATTAATCAGGCAGCATCCTCTACTGCTTTTATCATTTAAACATTAGAATTTACTGCTGTTTTCTCTAGACCGTTTTTTTTATCCTTGACCTGCATACGCTACGAGTACTGCAGGGCGTTGTGAAGCGACTGAGCACCAATATTCCTCCTGGAGGTGCGCAGTGATGTTCAGTAAGAAGCTGCAGTTGCGTTTTGTTGCCACAGTCGAGGATGTCTGTATGGCAGGGTGAGAGTGAGGACGACCAAGCCTTCTGCTATTCCTACAGTGGCAGAAGTGAATTCGGTACGCATACAGTAATCTCTGCGATTCAGCGTCCATTTTACGACAGTTCCTACTCTCTTCCCAATACTGGACTTGCAGAAGAAAATGAATTTGCATTAACTGAACTTATAGTAACATTTTAATTGGCCACGACGCCTCAAAAGATTTTAAACCAAAGAAACAAGAAACAACTTAAAATTTAAGTCAGGAGTAAGATCAGATGCACGTCGTGTAGTTCACGTGTAATCAATTCTAGGGTCTTGAAAGAAGCTTAAGTAATTGGTAATTATTTTAATAAAACTTCATAAAATCTTCAGTGGTTATCTTAGATATCCTTCAGAAACTGAGAAGATAGAATTCCAAAATGTGTAGTGCCTTCAGGAGAAATGGGGCTGAAGACAGGAAAATATGGGGGGAAGGATTGAAACTGAAAGTTCACAGATTGCAGCAAGGGTACTGTTTCATTCCATTAATTTCATACCAGCATCATACAGTGGTCCCAGGGAAGCAACTTGTTTTATAAGGCTTTGTTTTTCCTCAAATAACCTGAACACACAGATAGTAGAGTACAGTAATTCACAATCCTTAAAGGAGTGAACAATCCAGTTGAGTCCTGCAGAATCTACAATGAACAACTGGACACACAAATTTTAGTTGACATGCATTTAATAGTGAAAACAAGAGCACCACAATATATAAAGGATTGTTGATGTTGTTGTTGAGTGTGGAACAAATCACCAAGCCATGCTTTTGAACCTGATATTTCAGGATACTTCAATGAAACATCTTAATGAGATCTTTGGCTCAATTGGGCCTCCTCAAATTTATATCCTTTATTATACTTAGTGAATAGCTGTAGGGTGAGTAAACAAGAGACTGAGGAATACATGGGGCTACAGGAATTAAATTACACAAAATGTGAAGTTCTTAATACGCAAATTCACAACACTGCCATAATGTAGGGATGGGACAACATAGTCACAACATAGCTCAGTTATGATTAGAAAAGAGCTTAAATCGTTTGCAATAACAGGAGAATAACAGGGACACAAAAGTGAATCTTCACTGCTTTGTTCTGAATACAAGTATTTCTAGGCAGAAATAACCATCTGAGAACATCTAAGTTATAAATGTCTCATTTAAAGACAATTTTTGAGCATATATTTAGGATTAACATATACTGTATTAAGGATCAACATAAAGATTACCATACATCATACAACTGAAAAGGTTGCCCCAAGGCGCTTTACAATGCAATTGACCATACATTTTGTGAATACAGAACAGAAAAAAACAAGATAACGGAGGAGAGGAACCAAGAACCCATTAGTAAGGAGAAAAAAAACCTCTAGGGTTCCAAGGTCAACTGGCTGCCCAACCTCTTTGTTGTATATAATTATATATAATAATATATATATA